TAAACATAAATTCCAGATTTTTTTTCATCAAAAATTGTTCAAGAAGAGTTGTACAAATCCATATATAGAAAATTGTTCTAGAAGAGGTGTACAAATCCATATATAGACATTAAAAGTATTGCACACGGGTCCTTCATTTAGTGGAACTCTTCAACTCCAGAAGAACCCAATCAAGTTCAAACTACATTGCGTATGACCTTAATTAAAAAGCATGTTTTTTTTAAATGTATGACATATTTAAAAGCGTGCATAAAATGAGTCAGTTGAAGTTTTAAGACTTTAATGACACACGCTCCCCTAAATCCGCCACTAGCACTCACCGCTATTTCTCGGTCCGTCTTCTTCTGTCCCAGACCATCTACAACCATCTTCTTAAGTTCCTGGATAGAGACTTTTCCGTCCTTCTGTCCCATTGCATCTGTCTTATCAAAAAAGTCCTCGTACATTTTTCTCTGTGCGGCTGCCATCTTTCTGAAAATGTCTTACTCCCTTACTGTCTTAGCCTTGTCGGTCGGACTAGCCTTGTAGGTCGGACCACAGTGAATGAGTAACTGGTTTGACCAGGTCTATAGGGTTTTATGGTCAGTTACAGAAATATACATTCAATAGAGTGTACGATGTCCCATTCACTTTTTGTCAGGTATTTGTATTGTAATCATTCAACCAAACCACAGTAGGGGAAACATAGGTGAAGCGCGTAGTTTAAATGTTTATCAGTGCTTATGACACAGATTGTCCCGCCTTACAAAGCAATAAATTAATGGACTGAATACTTTCTTCTGAGTTTCTTAAAATTACTACTACGTTTATACACACCTTCATGAGTAAATCTTAAACTATGAAATATGCACATCAGAGAGTTGCCTAGGAGCAATTATTCAAGAGTAATACATATAGTGGTTTAATTAATAATTCGACTTTGTTATTGCAGAGATTGTAAAAAATTATGCAAAGTCAGTGTCAAATTGTAGGACGTCCATTAATTTAAACAGAGCACCTCCACAATAATACAGTGTAACTTCGATTTAGCCACTAACGATTCCTTCTACAAGGCTTGTAAAGATTTAGCCATGCTTTAAAGGACACTCAAACTACCAGTACTTAGTATTTTTATTCATAACTAGTGCTAATTGTAACGGGGACCGTTACAGATGTTCCCCAAACGCTCCCCATGTCCCTTAGCGTGCCTTATTCCTCTAAGACCTTTTATAAATATGCTAAGTATCCCAAGATTTCATTTAAGAATATAAAAGTTACAATGATATCAACTATCAACGATATATTGTTTAACGTTTTGCATGCGCGCACACGTACATGTACATGCATATGCAAGATGATTATGGCATGTTGATTAAGCGATTAACATATCTTTCTATCCCACGAATCAAAGAAAAAAATACATATATAAATTTACCATTTTTCAAGCATATGTCATATTTTTAATATATCGATTCACATTTTATTTCTCTACTTATTTTAACCTCGGGCTCAAAGTTGGTTTTATTCCGATGACAAGGCAGGGTTAAAGTCAACTAAGGGTATCACGCCAATACCTAACCAATCAAAATGAACTTATTCAATAGTAGTTCCATACATGGAAAAGAGATTTTCCTTTCTGTTCAGAATTTTTTTAATATTTCCTCTCAGGCCATTTTGACAACTCTGATACCTGTGCCTGGTAAATTTTATATACTTTGTAAATAAATATTTAAAGGTTTTTTGACCGGAACTATTCATTTTTTCCAATGCATAGGGGGCTACTCTCTGGGTTTTACAAGAGATGTTTAAAAAGACATTCGTGTCAGCTAATGTGACCTATATTGTTTAACACCTTCTTATTAATATTTTTTTCATGAATGCAACTATCTGATTATTTTACGAAGGAGCGTACATGTATATTGATTTTTAATATACCGAAAATCGCTATTTCTGGGGATTGCGTAATTCTAAAAAAAATGCAAATAAATTTCAAAGGTAAATTAAACAAAGGATGCTTGGTATTAAAATATTATTTCAAATCAGTAGAATCGAATGCTATTAACGACATCTGAATAAATAGGCTATAAAAGGCTTATATGCCAACTTTGGTCATCTGCACTTTAATTTTAAACACGACAGGATTTGTAATTTTTCTGTATAAATTAATAATTTCTATATACTTTGGAAACTCAAATGAAATATTTCAATACACTTTCCTCGAGCTCTTTTCTGCAGTTTTCCTGAAATTTTATGTGGGTCCGAGGTGTTATTTGAGTTTAACAGTGATTCTCTACGTTGCCATTAATTTGATTTGTTTGTGTGTGTGGGGGTGGGGGTGGGGAGGGGGGGTTATTTTTATTCTTAACCTATTTAACGTTTGAGTTGAATCTTGTATCTTATTCCAAGAACTTACGATTGATTGTGACATTTGGATGAAAGGTCAAGGTCATTAAAAACCACCACCTCTTTAACTTCTAACCTGTCAACCGAAATAAACTCTGAAAGGTGTTTCTAGATACATGTACATATACTTCATGTTTCTTTTTACCCTTGGGTCAAGGACAAAGGTTAAGGTCGATTTCAAGTTCATAGGTCAAGGTGATTTTGGTAAATAGTTAATATCAACATTTTATTCAGGTTACCAGTGACCTTGACCTAAGTTTCAAGGTCAAGGGTAAAAAGATCTGCATGCTTCAGTATGTTACATGTCTTGACATTTAGAAGTTCTTAATTCTGCATGAACATCAAACACTCAAGTATACTGTCTTTTAATACATTGTGTGCGGTCGTATGTGCATGCACGTCCATGTATTTACTTTTGATAGTAGTATAATGTAGGCAATCATTATATCTATTCATATTTGAAATTTCACCCTGTATTATTGAGAACCAAGAAAGTTGTAGGCATTTAAAGTTTTAGCCAATCAGATTGCAGCACACGTGCATGTGCGTGCGTTCATGATTATTCTTATATATCATGCTGTAGATCTTCATAATGTAAGACTATGTTCAAAATTTCAAAGGATTTTGTCAGAAAACAAAATAGATATTTAGACTTTAAGTTTCAGCCAATCGAAGCGAAGGGCACCTGCATGCGCGTGAGATCTTGCTATTTTGACCATGTCATCATGTCTATACTACTATTATATCCTTATATAATGAGTTTCAAAGCATTTCATCCAATATTTAAAAAGTTACGGCTAAATCTATTATATTGGTCATTTCACGTGTTACACGTGCGCGCACCTGCACGCACGTGCGCGCAAAATGACCTTCGTTCCGCACATCTACATAACATACCTAGTGACCCTAAAAAGGTTTCACCTAGATCGGATGAGTAGTTTACGAGAACACTCGCGGACAAAAAAGTACCGGAGAACAAAGAAAAAATTCAGAAAAAGTAAAAACAATATGTTCCCAAACTTCGTTTGGGGAACATAATTATAGCCATGAAATTTAGAGACTACATTTCTTTGATCCTTTTCTGTGAAATTCACCATCATACACCCGTCACGGTGGGTAACTAGGCTGCTTTATCTGATCTTTAACAATTCATTTCCAATCATCCGTAAAATCTACAATATATATGTACCAGGGAGATAATACTATCGTTACAGCATGTCATTTCGTTTGATCAAGCGTGCAAATCTTTCTCCAGTATAAAACTATTTCAATACAGGTATACAGTGTACTAAAAACTTGTCGTGTATACATGTATATTTTCCCTCTAATTACATTTCGATACATGCCATATAACTATGCTGCACATGTACACAGTTTCAACATGAAGACAACATTTGCCCAGTCATTATTAGGAGTACCTGTAACTTTTTGACATCTTTACTACACGCTCTATACGTACTCCGTAGGCCTGTTCAACATAGCTGCAGAACTGTAGCTCTCCGAAAAATATATTGATTAGACCGCCAGACCGGAGAGCTACAGTGCCACCCATTGAAAAAATAAAACTGTATATTTTTTGCGCACAAAACACTGCGCTGTTTCTCGATTTATTTCTCCATGTTTTTAAAACTGCCATATCAAAATATTACTAACCGTGTGTTCCTAATATATTCTTTCACTGTTTCCATAACAAAACATTCCTTACAATTGTTTTTAATGGTCCTCCTGGCCCTGAATATATTATATTATAAATACTTTTACAGACTATAAGGCGAGAGCTTTTCACATCAGACGGGAAAATGTTTTCAATTGATTCTGATTATGGAAGACATGTTTGCTCTGTATATGGTCTGATTTCTCCGTGGACTTCTGTAATAGGTTATCGAGTTCATTATTTATGTTCGTGTCTAGGGACTCTCCATATGAGTCTGTCGAGTGCCAACAAAAATTATATACATGCACTAGTATGTACAATTTACGTCCTATTCACTGTTTCTAAGACCAGGTCATGTTAGTTTAATGTGACTCTTTGGGTTTCATAAACAAGGATGCAAAACTTTAAAAATACATTCTCTTTAACGTATGTTTTTTGATCCGCTCCACTCCGCTTCCGAGGACAGAGTCCTGTTCAATAGAGCAAGCGCTCATGAACATTTAGAACTATTGGAGGTCATGTATATATATTATATGTTCATATTATAAGTGTATTGAGCAGTGGGGTCATATTAAGAAGACGCAGAAGAAAGTGAAAAATAAGACGTCAGGCTGAAAGAGGAGCTGTTATGGATGGATTACAATGTTCCAAGAATTACGAAAATAGGCGTTTGATACAAACATACTACCTTCATTTCAATATGCGTACTGTATAAAGAAACTGGACTGCAGCATGCAAGTGCGATACAATGGAAAGAGAACTGCTAAACATTGTTCAAAATTATATACCCTTCACATAATTTTTGAAGAAGAATATTTTAATTTTACACAATATTACGTACATTTTAAGACAATAAAAAGTGCTAAAGCGTGCACTACACAATGCAAGATACGATTCACTTAATTCTTGTACGGCATATATAGTTTGTTTCGTGTACGGTATGATTCACTTCTTTTACGGCATACTAGTAGTTTGTTTCGTGTATACGATTCACTTCTTTCACGGCATAGTTTGTTTCGTGAACGGTACGATTCACTTTTTTCACAGCATGGTTTGTTTTGTGTACGGTACGATTCACTTCTTTCACGGCATGCTTAATTGTTTTGTGTACGGTACGGTTCACTTCTTTCACGGCATAGTTTGTTTCGTGCACTATACGATTCACTTCCTTCACGGCATAGTTTGTTTCGTGTACGGTACGGTTCACTTCTTTCACGGCATGGTTTGTTTCGTGTACGGTACGATTCACTTCTTTCACGGCATAGTTTGTTTCGTGCACTATACGATTCACTTCCTTCACGGCATAGTTTGTCTCGTGTACGGTACGGTTCACTTCTTTCACGGCATGGTTTGTTTCGTGTACGGTACGGTTCACTTCTTTCACGGCATGGTTTGTTTCGTGTACGGTACGGTTCACTTCCTTCACGGCATAGTTTGTTTCGTGCACTATACGATTCACTTCCTTCACGGCATAGTTTGTTTCGTGTACGGTACGATTCACTTCCTTCACGGTATGGTTTGTTTCGTGTACGGCACGATTCACTTCCTTCACGGCATGGTTTCTTTCGTGTACGGTAACGATTCACTTTTTTCACAGCAGAGCCAGGTGATTATCGTGAGCGTTTTGTCCCACGGGCCACTTGTATTTTTTTTCGACCTACAATGACTTGATTTTTATAAGAGGTCATGAAAAGTAAGTAATAGAAAAAGTACTTCCTCTTTTAGCATGATACATAGAGTGATAATGTAATAGCTCCCAAAAATGTAGATAAGTATCTTTATCTACATGTTGCTTGGAAGCTAGACTGAACTGATTATCCCTGATTTAAAGTTTACAATTAAATGGTTGGTTTGTTTTAACAGGTCCAGTACATAGCTTTATTTATGACCTTGAAGTATGTTTATTTGCCTACTTCAATGCAACTTTTCACAAATTGTCTTTTTTTTAATAATGAACGAATTGAAATGATATATATGGAAAGGAGTTCAAGTCAAAGATAGCATAAACATTGCTCCTTTTGAACACTTATGTGCAGAAGATGCGTTTCCATTGTTTGAGAAACAGTACAAGCTGTGTCCGTTGAGACATGGATATGTATGATTACTTCACATTGTGCTGAATTGTTACCAATCCTTAATCATGTTAACCAGAACTAGTCTTCTTTGTTATTTCATTCAACAAGTAACTGTTTATAATTGTTTGCTCACAATATTAACTGTACATTAGCTTCAAAACTATTGAGACTTTGATTGCAATTGCGCTAAAAGAGACAAATCTTCAAGAGATATATTTTCATGATCGGTTCAAAGTTGAATCATTGCAAAAGTGCGATTTTCTTCACATCTTCAAAAAAATTGTTATTTCCAGAAAAATGCATGATTAAGTAGCTACTGGTAGGAAAATAAAGTTTTTTTGTATATTATTATCAGCTACCCGGTTCGTACCTAAATCCAGTGATTGTATTCTACCTATTCTTAGAATTTCATACAATCTCGTGAGACTTGAATAAAATGATATAATAGTGAATCTGATTTTTAAAAAAATACTCTGATGTGTTATGTCTATGTGTTATGTCAATACCTTTACTAGTTTGTGATATGTAGCTCATTGATCCGCAACTTAAGCATTATCCAAACCTGGCATGCCCGGTAAATAAATAAAGAGATAAGTACTCAATCAGTCGTGATTATAAGATGAAAAGAATTGTCTTAAATAAGCTTGGAAAGGACTCACGAGATAGCTCTACACAGTGAGTAATACTCACAAAATAGGTCTATCCGGTGAATAGTACTCACCTACAGAGGTATACAGTGAGCAGTTTCCACTAGGATAGGCCTTCTCTGTGAGTAGTACTCACCAGGATAAACCTACTTAGTGAGTAGTGATCACTCAGATTAAGCCTTCCCAGTGAGTATTACTCACCAAGATAGACCTACCTAGTGAGCAGTACTCACTCAGATAGCTCTAGACAGTGAGAAGTGCTCACCCAGAGAGGTCTGACCAATGAGAACTACTCACCAGGGGAGCTCCACAAGTGAGTTGTACTCACTTAGAAAGGCCCTATCCAGTGAGTAGTGCTCACTCAGATTGGCCTTTCCAGTGAGTAGTACTCACGTAGATAGCTCCACACGGTGAATAGTGCTGAAACAGTAAGGTCTATACTCAGTGAGTAGTACTTGCTTGAGTAGTCTGTCCAGTTACAAGTGTTCATGCTATTACGGGTTCCGTTATTTGCAAATGCTCTGGTGAAACTTTCAAATCTAAATTAGTGAATTATTTTTACTGGATATTAATAATTTGTACCTATATCTATTTAGTCATAAAAGTGCACCTGCATGTAATTATCATTGTATACGGGTATTTTTGAACTAGTGAATGTAAAAGTATTAATTTTATTACAATTATATTTTAAATTAGATCCCATTGTTTTCCTTTTTCAAACTATGTTTAGCTGTTTAGAACCATTTCTGTCACATTAAGTTTTGCAGAACAACAACTTTCAACTTTTCACCTATGGAAGATCATTCACAATATGCCGATGTGGCAAAATCTACTGATTTAGCTTGAATTTGTGACTGTATGAGTTTTTACAATAAAATAGATGAAACAACATTGATTCAGTATAAAATATATACATGTAAGATTAATAATACTTATAGGATGGACGATTTAAAATGTATATCAAAGGTGAATTTAATTAACAGTGCTGTTCTTGAACACTTTTAAGTACAAGTAATGCAACAGTACACCAAATCGTGTGCGTCGAGGCATGGATAAGTATGATTGCTTCACATTCATGATCGTGCTGCATTACCGATCAAGTATCTCGTCAACTGAAATTGCTCTCCGTTACAATATTCTTCAAGAAGTAACTGTTCATGAATCACAGCTCTACAAGGCCAAAAAACCAAAAAGAACCCTGACTTTAAATTCTCTGAAAAAGAAACTTTTTTAAAGGAAAAAAAGTTTGTCCATGCAATGCTTTTCAAAAGAAACACTTTAGTACAACGTAGAAGACAATCATGTCACCCGTGCAACTTTTCTCACAATCTAAACTTGCAAGTACCAGAAAAAATACAGATAATATGTTAGATATAAAGTATAAGCTAAATCAAGCTTTTTTTTTTACATAGCTAAAACGTGTTACCGGGTATATAGCTTATTGAAGCTAATCATGAATGAAAGCCTTAGCAATATAGTGGTTTAGACGTTTTTGGTGAATACTTTAGAAAAATGAATGATTGAAATTTTGTCTTGTTAATGTAAAACTATTTCATGTAAAAATCTGAAACGTACCGTAAAGATACTTTTGAATTAATTGCACAATCTTTCATATCAGCTTATTAGCATAATCGTAAATTGGCACACTTAGTTTAAATAACAATATTGGGTAAGTTTAATCATATCCTTACACGTACACAAGTAATATTTATGCAGAAGACTAAATCTGTCGCGAACATGTTTACCATTTCAAATTATTTCCATATGAAAAAGTCCTAAAAAATAAATTTGAAAGCACAGTCTGAAAGTATACCGCCTTGTTGTAAATTTTGAATTTACCGTCTATATGAAATTATTTTTTTTTTAAATTATAAATTCCCAGTATATATCCCCACTCCTGGTCGATGAAATATATGGAGAAAAAATAAAATTATCTTTACTTTTGGCACACATCTGTATTTTCGTGTGAACTGCTATTGCAATCTATAAGCTGTAATTTATTATACAAAAAAAAAATTGAGAAAATATAAGTTCAACTCTGTGTCTAAGCACCTTTAAAGTATGAAGATATTATCTTTCTTTTTCTTAAAGTTAAAAATTAATGAGTAAAGATCATATGTTTCTTTTGCCCTTGCTATTAGCTGTCATAAGGGGCATCAGTGTTTCACAACCACATCTTGTTTTTATGCGCCCGGATCGATAGATCCAGGGCGTATAATATTGTTTTTGTCCTGTCTGTCTGTCTGTCTGTCTGTCTGTTCACCATAACTTTTTTACCATGAAAGATAGACTTCATATTTGGTATGCATACTCCACTAATTAAGCTCTTTCAAATGACACCAAGGTCAATGACCTTGTGACCTTGACTGTGGCCTATATCGCTAAAAATATTTTTTTTCTGCAAACTTTAACCTTCGCCACAACTTTTGAACCATGAAAGATACAGACTTCATATTTGGTATATGCAAACTCCACTAATCAGCTTCTTCCAAATAATACCAAGGTCAATGACCTTGTGACCTTGACTGTGACCTTAATGCTAAAAAATATCTTTTTCCGAACTTTTTTGCCACCGGGCGCATAGTGTTTCACAAACACATCTTGTTTTTATATAAGAAATGAAAACAAAGTTCACAAAGGACCAGATTTTCACATTTTGTTTCCGTCTTTGAATTATTCATTTAGGTGTTTGACTTGCTACAGGAAAATGCATCGATTTTTTTTAACTTTCAAAGTAAACAATGAAAAAGTACCCAGTTAGACCTTTTATCAGTATTAGCATTATAACACGTAACAGAAGTATTCCCTTTTATCGGTGTGCATTTGTTAAATGCGTAAATTATGAGGAAGTAGAAAATGACGTACCTTTGATCTGGATCACAAACCCCGATGTATAGGAGTTAAAGCAAAATTAGCTGCATTTTTGAGAATTTTATTTTGCCGTTAAAATGTGTTTATATTATGATAAATTTGTATGTAACTTAAACCTTTATGTTCAATTAGACTAAAATAAAGTATTAAATTGTTTCAGAAGAAAAATTTCTGTACAATGGAATGTATAGTATTATATAAGAAATCAATATTATACAGGATGACAATAATGTAATTTGTTTCAAACAAAGCTTATAAAAAGATCTTCAATCGCAAATATGGACAACAGAAGATTATAAATGATCTTCTCTTCTTGAAATAATGTTGTGAAGCTGTTATTAGCTTTTAGTGGTTTCTTTATGTTAACAGATGAAAATCCATATGAAAAATACTCACTGGTAGCAACAACATCTGGAATTGCTAAAATAATCTTCCTACTAATTTAATGGGAGTCATTTACAGAAATAATTTGAAAATGTTTGGGCCACTGCATGGTTCAACCCACTGGGAAGGGGAGGTCACTTATACAGCCTTGAAGGAACATATATACTCCTTAACTGGAAAGATAGGCTTCTTAACTTTGCAAGGTTACATTTGTTTGGGGTTTTTTTGTGAACGGCAGGCCTGAGGTGTAGTAGCTGTCCATGAAAACACGAAGAAAAGCTTGTTGTATTTTTTGTTTAAGGACCCATTTAATAATGAAACATACATACAAACAGTACAAATGACAACAATTTACAGATTTATTCCTCTTACACATCCATGAAATTGATGAAATTTAGCATGTCTCTCTTACATACTTTTACAAATTCATTCTGATGACCTGTAGTGGATACACAAATGTAAAATATTCAATGAGTTAATATGAGGTGACAAGCTGACAGCTCTGAGTACTAGATGTGTTGTCTATACATTTACACTGACTTTCACTTCATATACACAGTCCTTATAACCACAAAAATAGATTCCAATCTGCTCCTAAAACATGAGCACCTTATGCATTTTCTCCGTACCTTGTGAGCAATACACAAGTATACACAATGTATTCTGTACTCTACACTAATGAGTCCTCACATATTGCAAATTCTCTTCCATTCTTTATAGTAAAGTCATCATTACAATGAGGTCTCCTTTATTGCGTATCACTAGAATAAGGCCTCACGTATTGCGTATTCCAAGAGCCTGTTCCAGTTCCATTCTTCTCTGCTGGACCTGAAATATTTACAAAGGACGTTAAAACAAAAATAAAACATCAAAATGTAATAAATCTTGTTCCTAAAAACATTGACACATTCAATTTTAATTTATAGAAACAACTTTTCAGTGATAATAGGCATTTTCAAAATTCAGAATAAACATTTCCTTGTATCACAACTTTTATGATCGAGTTCTGAGCCCCATCCCTTCTCAATTTTTCAAAAGAACTCAAGGATATGCCCAAGAAAGTAAAGCTATTTACAGTTCAAGAGACAAAGTTAGAAATAAAACCTCAAGAAGTCAGGTAAGTGTGAGTACCTTGCCGTAGAAGTATCTACAGACGGCCTCTTGTGACCAGGGCTGGTAGTAGTAGTCCGCCCGTCGCTCTTCCTCGGGGTTACCTACTACGTCCGTCATTGTCTGAAAAATACACAAAAATTACAGATCACAGGAGAGTTTCTAGCATTATATAGAGGTTTGTATGAAAAAATAAAGAGTTATCTTTCTTGACTCTCATAATAAACAAACAAACACTCATTCAACATTTATTTATCCCTTACAGTTCACTAAACATTTGACCCTAATCATTGAACTATTAAATTTATTTTGATAATAAAGTTTTCAACTGAGCTCTCCAAAAAACTCTTGATTTTCAATTTCATATGTTGCATATATTTTCAGATTCTTGAATAAAAAATAAGGCACTGGTGAAAGCTACACAAACAATGAAATAATTAGATTTAAAATATCCTCTTAATTACTCATTTTAAATATTTTACCTTCAGATCTCTAGATTGTGAAATTAACCAGTTGTTTATAAACTCCTGCGGATCCTTGGCAAAACTTAAGAAGAATTCTCTGTTGGTTTTCAGCTGGTTAATGGTTTCCACTGTTTCATGTATCTACAATAGATGTTATCCTCATAAAAGCCAGCTCTCATAATGTTAATATAAACATAGATATGTCTGTCAATATATTGGATTACTGAATTCCAAGTAAATAAGCACCCATGAAATCATATCCCCATGGATGCATTAAATGTTGGTTGTCTTTGAACTCCAACAAACAAGAATTTTTCCAAATCATGTTCATTCTATATTCTAACACAACTGATTTCTTAATCCTCTAAGCATTCTAATACATGTAGGGTGGGCTTAAGAAAATTGTTTAATATCACTAGACTTTACTCAAAATCTTGATTCCCCTTGAAAGAGGATGTTGCCCTTCACTAGAACAAACTTAAATTCCCTTCACCATAGGTTGTTTTAGTAAGTTTAAATGAAATTGATCCAATCATTCTTAAGATGAAGCCCAAAAAGTTAAAAGCTTACCAAAGAATGCCAAGAAAAATGTGATCAGAAAAGCTCACAAGAGCTTTCAGGTCAGATGAGGTAAAAAAGACATCCTGCTCATACCTTAGAATCGAGTGAGCCTAACTCATGTTGACATATTGCCCATACCTTAGAATCAAGTGAGCCTATCTCATGTTGGCATACTGCCCATACCTTAGAATCGAGTGAGCCTAACTCATGTTGACATTCTGCTCATACCTTAGAATCAAGTGAGCCTATCTCATGTTGGCATACTGCCCATACCTTAGAATCAAGTGAGCCTAACTAATGTTGACATATTGCCCATACCTTAGAATCAAGTGAGCCTATCTCATGTTGGCATACTGCCCATACCTTAGAATCGAATCAAGTGAGCCTAACTCATGTTGACATACTGCGCATACCTTAGAATCGAGTGATCCTATCTCATGTTGACATATTGCCCATACCTTAGAATCAAGTGATCTTATCTCATGTTGACATATTGCCCATACCGTAGAATCGAGTGAGCCTAACTCATGTTGACATACTGCGCATACCTTATAATCGAGTGATCCTATCTCATGTTGACATATTGCCCATACCTTAGAATCAAGTGAGCCTATCTCATGTTGACATATTGCCCATACCTTAGAATCAAGTGATCCTATCTCATGTTGGCATACTACCCATACCTTATAATCGAGTGATCTTATCTCATGTTGACATATTGCCCATACCGTAGAATCGAGTGAGCCTAACTCATGTTGACATACTGCACATACCTTAAAATCGAGTGATCCTATCTCATGTTGACATATTGCCCATACCTTAGAATCAAGTGAGCCTATCTCATGTTGACATACTGCTCATACCTTAAAATCGAGTGAGCCTACCTCATGTTGACATACTGCTCATACCTTAGAATCGAGTGAGTCTATCTCATGTTGACATACTGCACATACCTTATAATCGAGTGAGCCTACCTCATGTTGACATACTGCTCATACCTTAGAATCGAGTGAGTCTATCTCATGTTGACATACTGCTCATACCTCAGAATCGAGTGAACCTATCTCATGTTGACATACTGCGCATACCTTATAATTGAGTGAGCCTATCTCATGTTGACATACTGCTCATACCTTAGAATCGAGTGATCCTATCTCATGTTGACATACTGCCCATACCTTATAATCGAGTGATCCTATCTCATGTTGACATATTGCCCATACCTTAGAATCAAGTGAGCCTATCTCATGTTGACATATTGCCCATACCTTAGAATCGAGTGATCCTATCTCATGTTGGCATACTACCCATACCTTATAATCGAGTGATCTTATCTCATGTTGACATATTGCCCATACCGTAGAATCGAGTGAGCCTAACTCATGTTGACATACTGCGCATACCTTATAATCGAGTGATCCTATCTCATGTTGACATATTGCCCATACCTTAGAATCAAGTGAGCCTATCTCATGTTGACATATTGCCCATACCTTAGAATCAAGTGATCCTATCTCATGTTGGCATACTACCCATACCTTATAATCGAGTGATCTTATCTCATGTTGACATATTGCCCATACCGTAGAATCGAGTGAGCCTAACTCATGTTGACATACTGCACATACCTTAAAATCGAGTGATCCTATCTCATGTTGACATATTGCCCATACCTTAGAATCAAGTGAGCCTATCTCATGTTGACATACTGCTCATACCTTATAATCGAGTGAGCCTATCTCATGTTGACATACTGCTCATACCTTAGAATCGAGTGAGCCTATCTCATGTTGACATACTGCTCATACCTTAGAATCGAGTGATCCTATCTCATGTTGACATACTGCTCATACCTTAGAATCGAGTGAGTCTATCTCATGTTGACATACTGCTCATACCTTAGAATCGAGTGAGCCTATCTCATGTTGACATACTGCGCATACCTTATAATTGAGTGAGCCTATCTCATGTTGACATACTGCTCATACCTTAGAATCGAGTGATCCTATCTCATGTTGACATACTGCCCATACCTTATAATCGAGTGATCCTATCTCATGTTGACATATTGCCCATACCTTAGAATCAAGTGAGCCTATCTCATGTTGACATATTGCCCATACCTTAGAATCGAGTGATCCTATCTCATGTTGGCATACTACCCATACCTTATAATCGAGTGATCTTATCTCATGTTGACATATTGCCCATACCGTAGAATCGAGTGAGCCTAACTCATGTTGACATACTGCACATACCTTAAAATCGAGTGATCCTATCTCATGTTGACATATTGCCCATACCTTAGAATCAAGTGAGCCTATCTCATGTTGACATACTGCGCATACCTTAAAATCGAGTGAGCCTACCTCATGTTGACATACTGCTCATACCTTAGAATCGAGTGAGTCTATCTCATGTTGACATACTGCACATACCTTAAAATCGAGTGAGCCTACCTCATGTTGACATACTGCTCATACCTTAGAATCGAGTGAGTCTATCTCATGTTGAAATACTGCTCATACCTCAGAATCGAGTGAACCTATCTCATGTTGACATACTGCGCATACCTTATAATCGAGTGAGCCTATCTCATGTTGACATACTGCTCATACCTTAGAATCGAGTGATCCTATCTCATGTTGACATACTGCTCATACCTTAGAATCGAGTGATCCTATCTCATGTTGGCATACTGCCCATACCTTAGAATCGAGTGAGCCTATCTAAATTAGAGTGAGCCTGTCTTATGTTAACATACTGCCCATACCTTAGAATCGAGTGAGCCTATCTCATGTTGGCTTGCAGTAGACAGGAGGAAGGAATTCATCTGTTGTTTTAATGTATCATCCTACAAATAAAATGGAACAATTTTACTCTTCCATAAGGCTAGTATAAAAGAAACATATTTCCCATACAAGATAATTTTTCTGTGTTTTTAGCTCTACTGGTCAGAGACCAGAAGAGCTTATGCGATAGTAATGCGTCCAGCGTCCGTCCGTCTGTCTGTCTGTCCGTCTGTAAACAATTTTTCAAAACGCTACTCCTCCTACAATTTTAGTCTGATTTCAATATTACTTGGCACACAAGGAGACTACACTAAGATACATAGAATAGTGCATCGGTTTTTAATTTCGATGAACAGTGTTGCCATGGTTACTAAAAATAGAATTTTCTGTGAAATTCCTTAAAAACGCTACTCCTTCTACAGTTTTGGTCTGATTTCAATATAACTTGGCACACAAGTAGACTACACCAAGATACATAGAATAGTGCATCGGTTTTTAATTTCGATGAACAGTGTTGCCATGGTTACTAAAAATAGAATTTTCTGTGAAATTCCTTTAAAACGCTACTCCTTCTACAGTTTTGGTCTGATTTCAGTACAACTTGGCACACAAGTAGACTACACTAAGATACATGGAAAAGTGCATCGGTTTTTGATTTCGGTGAACGGTGTTGCCATGGTTACTAAAAATAGAATTCTCTGTGAAATTCCTTTAAAACGCTACTCCTTCTACAGTTTTGGTCTGATTTCAATATAACTTGGCACACGAGTAGACTACACTAAGATACATAGAATTGTGCATCGGTTTTTGATTTCGATGAACGGTGTTACCATGGTTACTAAAAATAGAATTTTCTGTGAAATTCCTTTAAAACGCTACTCCTTCTACAGTTTTGGTCTGATTTCAGTACAACTTGGCACACAAGTAGACTACACTAAGATACATGGAAAAGTGCATCGGTTTTTGATTTCGGTGAACGGTGTTGCCATGGTTACTAAAAATAGAATTCTCTGTGAAATTCCTTTAAAACACTACTCCTTCTACAGTTTTGGTCTGATTTAAATATAACTTGGCACACAAGTAGACTACACTAAGATACATAGAATAGTGCATCGGTTTTTCATTTCGATGAACGGTGTTGCTATGGTTACTAAAAATAGAATTTTCTGTGAAATTCCTTTAAAACGCTACTCCTTCTACAGTTTTGTCTGATTTCAATATAACTTGGCACTCAAGTAGACTACACTAAGATACATAGAATAGTGCAATGGTTTTTGATTTCGATGAACGGTGTTACCATGGTTACTAAAAATAGAATTTTCTGTGAAATTCCTTTAAAACGCTACTCCTTCTACAGTTTTAGTTTGATTTCAAAATAAGTTGGCACACAAGAAGACTACACAAAGATACATAAAATAGTGCAATGGTTTTTGATAAGTACATATGAGCAGTAACAACTTACCACTTCTACATCGATATCATAACAAGCTGTCTTTCTGGCATCTGGACCCTCAACACTGGAAGAAAATAAAATGCATTTGGAAAAAATGGGACATAAAGCAACATACAATCAATCATATGGCATTGTTGTATTTAAGTCTGGCCTTACGTTATGACATGGTTGTTGACTATTGTTTAGTTTGGCCTAACGTTATGACATGGCTATTTTTAAGTCTGACCTCACATTATGACATGATTGTATTTTAGTCTGGCCTTACGTTATGACATGGTTGATGACTATTTTTATGTTTGGCCTTACGTTATAACATGGTTGTATTTCAGTCTGGCCTTACATTACTACATGGTTATATTTTAGTCTGGCCTTACGTTATGACATGGTTGATGACTATTGATTAGTCTGGCCTTACGTTATGACATGGTTGTATTTTAGTCTGGCCTTACATTACAACATGGTTATATTTTAGTCTGGCCTTATGTTATGACTTGGTTGATGACTATTGTTTAGTTTGGCCTTACGTTGTGACATGGTTGTACTTGAGTCTGGCCCTTGTTACGACATGGTTGATGACTATTGTTTAAATTGGCCTTGCGTTATGACATGGTTGTACAATGTATTTTAGTCTGGCCCTATGTTATGACATGGCTATTTTTAAGTCTGGCCTTAGCCGCCTTAAGTTATGACATAATTGATGACTATTGTTTAGTCTGACCTTACGTTATGACATGGTTGATGACTATTGCTAAGTTTGACCTTACGTTATGACATGGTTGATGACTATTGCTAAGTTTGACCTTACATTATGACATGGTTGATGACTATTGCTAAGTTTGACCTTAAGTTATGACATGGTTGATGACTATTGCTAAGAATGACCTTACGTTATGACATGGTTGATGACTATTGTTTAGTTTGATCTTACGTTATGACATGGTTGATGACTATTGCTAAGTTTGACCTTACGTTATGACATGGTTGATGACTATTGTTTAGTTTGATCTTACGTTATGACATGGTTGATGACTATTGTTTAGTCTGACCTTACGTTATGACATGGTTGATGACTATTGTTTAGTATGACCTTACATTATGACATAGTTGATGACTATTGTTTAGTTTGACCTTACGTTATGACATGGTTGATGACTATTGTTTAGTTTGACCTTACGTTATGACATGGTTGATGACTATTGTTTAGTTTGACCTTACATTATGACATGGTTGATGACTATTGTTTAGTTTGACCTTACGTTATGACATGGTTGATGACTATTGCTAAGTTTGACCTTACGTTATGACATGGTTGACGACTATTGTTTAGTTTGACCTTACGTTATGACATGGTTGACGACTATTGTTTAGTTTGACCTTACGTTATGACATGGTTGATGACTATTGTTTAGTTTGACCTTACGTTATGACATGGTTGACGACTATTGTTTAGTTTGACCTTACGTTATGACATGGTTGATGACTATTGCTAAGTTTGACCTTACGTTATGACATGGTTGATGACTATTATTTAGTTTGACCTTACGTTATGACATGGTTGATGACTATTGTTTAGTTTGATCTTACGTTATGACATGGTTGATGACTATTGCTAAGTTTGACCTTACGTTATGACATGGTTGATGACTATTGTTTAGTTTGATCTTACGTTATGACATGGTTGATGACTATTGTTAAGTTTGACCTTACGTTATGACACGGTTGATGACTACTGTTTAGTTTGACCTTACGTTATGACATGGTTGATGACTATTGGGTCTGGTGGCATCAACAGACTGTGGAGCTTCCCTGGTATCTCGGCAAACTTCATTCTCTTACACTCGAAAATCTGGAAAAGATTACACAGATGTAAAGGTTATTCATACAACAACAACGAATTTTTTAGCAACAAAAAAAGGTGTTTGGCATGCCTTTTAAAGGTATCCACTTTTGAATCTTTACAATGTACCTGTTCCATTTTCAATTAATACAAAACATCTATTCCAGATATACAATGTATACAACTTACTGTTCCATTTATGCACTCTTATATAACATACCTGTTCCATTCATACACTCTTATACAACATACCTGTTCTATTTATACACTCTTATATAACATACCTGTTCTATCTATACACTCTTATATAACATATCTGTTCTATTTATCCACTCTTATACAACATACCTGTTCTATTTATCCACTCTGATACAACATACCTGTTCTATTTATCCACTCTTATATGATATACCTGTTCTAATTATGCACTCTTATACAACATACCTGTTCTATTTATACACTTTTATACAACATACCTGTTCTATTTATACACTCTTATATAACATACCTGTTCTATTTATCCACTCTTATACAACATACCTGTTCTATTTATACACTCTTATATAACATACCTGTTCTATTTATCCACTCTTATACAACATACCTGTTCTATTTATACACTCTTATACAACATACCTGTTCTATTTATACACTCTTATACAACATACCTGTTCTATTTATCCACTCTTATACAACATACATGTTCTATTTATACACTCTTATACAACATACCTGTTCTATTTATACACTCTTATACAACATACCTGTTCTATTTATACACTCTTATACAACATACCTGTTCTATTTATACACTCTTATACAACATACCTGTTCTATTTATCCACTCTTATACAACATACATGTTCTATTTATACACTCTTATACAACATACCTGTTCTATTTATACACTCTTATACAACATACCTGTTCTATTTATCCACTCTTATACAACCTACCTGTTCTATTTATACACTCTTATACAACATACCTGTTCTATTTATACACTCTTATACAACATACCTGTTCTATTTATACACTCTTATATAACATACCTGTTCTATTTATCCACTCTTATACAACATACCTGTTCTATTTATACACTCTTATACAACCTACCTGTTCTATTTATACACTCTTATATAACATACCTGTTCTATTTATCCACTCTTATACAACATACCTGTTCTATTTATACACTCTTATATAACATACCTGTTCTATTTATACACTCTTATACAACATACCTGTTCTATTTATCCACTCTTATACAACATACCTGTTCTATTTATACACTCTTATATAACATACCTGTTCTATTTATACACTCTCATACAACATACCTGTTCTATTTATCCACTCTTATACAACCTACCTGTTCTATTTATACACTCTTATACAACACACCTGTTCTATTTATACACTCTTATACAACATACCTGTTCTATTTATACACTCTTATATAACATACCTGATCTATTTATACACTCTTATACAACATACCTGTTCTATTTATACACTCTAATACAACATACCTGTTCTAGGTACTTGTCACAGTTGATGTACTCTCTCTCATGATGATCCTGTAGACTGTGTGTTTTGATGTACTGCCACAGGGCATTGATAATGACCGGGCGAGTCTGGGTGTGCACCCCCAGGATACGAGCCAAACGGGGGTCCAACTTAAACTGAGGTGGCTACAATATAAAAGGTCCCTTATTACTCGCTATATATTATCTTCATCAATAATGTATTTATAAGTTTTATATTGCAAATTTAACATTTAAAATTATTTTTACATGTCGCATGTTTATATAGAGTCAATAATATTGCATTTTATTTTTAAAGAGTTTAAAATGTACCCAAACAGATTAAACTTCAATCCAGATCACAGGAATAAGCATACCTGATAGTCAAGCATCAACAGGACAGTGCATTTGACATTCTGGTCACCTGGACGTTTGACCTGGAATCCATCTGTCTCCTGTGTTGTAGGTGTCCTGTGCCACTGTAAAATAAAATCCATTTTTAGTGACAATTTGAATTTTACTAGTTCTTCTAAGTTCTTAAACAAATGAATCATTTAGACAGGGATCCTCAGATTCCATACAAAACCAATACTCTAAAGAGTCAGGGGACCTTATAAAATATAACAATACTCTACCTCTACCAGATGGTTATCTGGACCATACAGTTCCTTGTCTAGCTCTATCACCAGGCTCTTAAAGAAGGAGGAGAACTTCCTCTTCATTTTACTGGTATCATTCAATTTAGCACTGGCTGCCTGTAACAACGTAAAATATAAGATAATGACTTCACTTTGAGTGGCTTCACTTATTAAGGGAGTGATTTCTACACTGAGCTCTATTATACTGATCTCAGTGGTAATTATACTACTCACATCTTCTAGTAGCCTCCCTTCCACTCTGAGTTCCCAGGATGCAACAGTCTCATCTCCGTCCTCCCCTTCGGCTTTTGCAGGGTAAAATGTATTGGAAATGAAAATTCGTAATTTTCTCTTTTGCTACAAAAGGAAAGAATAAGTATTATCCTCATGCTTCACATCTTGTTTTAAATTTTACACATCCAGTGATCTTGAACTTGTTACACTGACTAGGGTTGTTATATACCCTTTGATCTCGATCAACCTTTACACTTAAAATATGTGTGATCTATTATTGTTCCTCTCACTTTCAAAGGACATTTCAAAGTCTAAGTTCACCTTCAATAGCATTTCAGAGCTCCTTTTGCTAGATATATACATGTAGCTCACCTTTATGGGGCATTTTTACATCTATACTCAACTTCATGGGAAATTTCAGGGTTACCCTTTTTAACTTTTATACCTCACCTTCATGGGACATTTTTAACTTTTATAGCTCACTTTCAAGAGGGAATTTTAGGGTTATCCTTTTCAACTTTTATATCTCACCTTCATGGGGCGTTTCAGAGCTTCTTGTATATCCAGTCTTTTTCTCATAATCGTAGCATCCAGCTTCCTCTCAAACGCCAGCAGATCCATGTAGGCCTGAGATTCTGGGACAAGATCCCTCACCTGAAATACATGTGACAAAATACTGTAAACAAACTTATTGGTGTCATCTTTTATTCACTATTCAGCAGTTTGAAATCAATCTACAAAGATTTTTCATTTTTTCTGCGACCTAAGAAAACATTCCCCAAACATACAAGAAAATACATGGTTTGTAGCAAAAAATAATTATCCCTGAGTTTAAGAAGGTTGTGAAGCTTGGGGATGTTTATCACAAGCGTGTAAAAGCTGGTTTACAGTAGCCTCAATAGGCATTTTAGATTTTAAAACTTCAACTTCAAAAAAGAACCCTTACTCTTCTAGATTTTAAAATCTAAAATAAACTTTTAACACAAATGCATGATGTAGAACAAGAATTGGGGCATGATAAACACATTTCAACATTACATTGTCAGATAATGTACTTTTATTATCTGCAAGGTTTTTACGTTACATCTGAAAGATAAAACATATATTATGATTAATTTAACAAATTGAAAGTAGGTTAAGTAAAAAATTTTAAGTTAATTAAGTAAACTACCCTCTGTGGAAGAATCTTGTCTGCTACTTTCTTTTTCTTCTTTCTGAAATAAGAAAAAAAACACCTTACTCAGTGTTCTCTTCCTCAGCAGTATTTTTATTCTTGTTTGTGAAAAGTGAATAGTTTTTTTCCTTTGCTTGTTTAATTTTTTATGTTAATAACTTTCGCCTGTTTCAATGTCAATAACTTACGCTTGTTTCATTTGTTGTGGGGTTCCTCTGGGGTCTGGTGGGCGTTTCCTGTCCATCGCATGGGGGGTCTGCATCCCGTGGGGTGGGGGAGGCATGCCAGGGGACATCCCAGGGCGCATCGCTGTCAGCCAATGAAAATCAGTATAATTAATTCAAGAATAAAGAACAAAACACCTTAATGAGGTGTGATATTTGTAAATTAATTACAAATACAAAATAATAAAAAGTGAATACAAACTTATATGAGTCATAGTTACAACCTATCTAATTGGAAAATCAATAAATTAATTATACATGTATATATAATAATCTGTATTCATTCTGTTGAAATCTAAAAATCTATAAAAACATGGATGTTGACTAATTTTTTCTTATTTAATTTATTAACACAACAATGCAAGTCACAATATCAAAAGCTTTATATACTTAAATGTATATGTACATGTACATCTATGCTTAGCATCTGCAGGTTGTATATGGGGAAAAAACTCAAGTTATGATTATTTGAATGTTAAAAACAATGTTTTGGAATCAATCAGATCTTCTGATTTTGAACCACTAAATTTTTCTCCATCTTTTGACCCTCAGAAAGCTAATGCCAAATGCCTATATAACAAACATATGATTGCATAATCATATGAAGCAGGGCTCTACATTTCCACATTCAACTCAGGCCTTTCTTGGATGCTTATTTAAATAAAAAAAAGCAACAATAAAGAAAAATCAGACTTCAAAATATACCTGCAATTCCAATGTAATACATATACAAGTCTCTACATGATCATACAGCAATAATTATTATACATTTCTTACCCACTTATTTCATAAAAAAAATACTGCCATTTAATTTGCAGCACTGAGCATATACAGATTATATTTAACAATAGCCTATGAGAGAGTAACAAGTGACCATTATACAGACATCTGCAAGCACCAAGATAATTTGGATTCACTACAATGCTGTAGCATGTGTCACCTTTAATAGCACCAGAAACCTGAGTCCTGTTGAGAATGCTGCAGACTGTCAGACATTTATCATGAAGAAAAAAAATAGAGGATGCTTTTTCTAGAAAGCAATCATAAACACAAAGCTTGCTTCACTTACCAGCTAATGTTTCTTTACCCTTATCACGAGCTAAAAAACACCAAATACTCTTTGTCTACCAAACTGAATACTTTTATGTCGTATATATATATAATAACCATTAATACCATAAAATATATGATTTAATAGAAATACAGTCTTAGGAATTTTAACACATAACAATGTGAAAGAGTAAAAGGGTGGTATGTTACCATGGTCAATATTGTGCATTTCCAGATTTTCACACTCTGTCATGTGTTAAATCAATGCATACTTATCAAATCTGTGTAAAATTGAGGAACAATTATTCTTACACCAAAATCACGATTCTCATAGAGATCAATCTTCATTCCCCTTCCACCAAGTCTTTATTAATTTCCCTTTAAATTTTTGTCAAAAACTTTTTTTACAATGACAAAGAAATTCAAAAAATCAAACTGGTATTCTATATTCATTAGTAAACTATGTATCTTACAATTTAAATACATGCATTCAGGTATTTTAGATCTTAGTACACATGGTACAAGCAAAACATCTCATCTGAGTTTATGAACTAACTTGTGACACACAAGTATCACATGCTGTCAGAAACAAAGAAAAATATTTACATCTAACGGTATCAAAAACCAAATGATAAAATATTTCAAAGAACTGAAAATTTCAATCATTTTGATCTGTACAAGTAAGATTTATTTCCCTTGATTAGTCATGCGGTTGATGTGTAAATAAAATCATAATGCATCCACACACTGGTCAAGCATGGCCGTCACTCACCCGAGCTCTCCTTGGATTTCTCAGACCGAGCTAAAAATGCAACCATGCACACTACATTACACGCAACTCTTAATCCTTAGCATCTCAGTCAAATCAATATCTTAAAGGGCTCCTTATCATTGGAAAAGTATAAACAAACAAGAATAATTTGTCACAAATGCCAAAAGTTGTTTCCTTTTAATTTTTTTGGGCCTCATTTTATAACAATTACCATCTTCACTTATTGAGCTGAACATTTTTAGAAAACATAGAGTTAGACATGCAAAATTATTGAAAGTTTTCTTTTTTCTTTTTCAAGTGATTTTTACATACAGTGCAATTGTTTATTTCTCTCCTTATATTCAAAAGAAGACAATTTATTCATAAAAATTAATGCTAACATCATGAACATCTTGCAAGAACTGGAAAGAGATGAATTCCAAGAATTTTTCATATCTAAAATCTTTTCATTGATGATTTTTTTTCTCTTTCAGCTCAGCCATTGTTTTCCTGCTAGCTCTTTAGTTTACATGTTAGCTTGAGACTTGACTACCATGCGTCATTGCCCTCTACTCACCCGCCTTAGAACTGGGGGATCCTCCTGATAGCCATACAAAAATTGATCAGATTTATATCTCATTTACAATCGATAAAAGTAAGGTCAGTCAATGTAAGACATTTATTTCTTAGTACATCAACAAAGTAAATGTCCATCAATGTTAATGCATTTCTAGGTATATCATCGAAGGTATGTGTCCATCAATATTTACGTGTATATAAACCTTGGTTGGCAGTTAAACACTGATTTTGTTTTAGTAAAATATGTACTAAACAGAATTTAATACTAAGATGTACTGAATCATTGGCACAATCATCATTAATTCCTTCAATATTACCTGCATATGGGTGTGGTGGCATTGCCCCATGACTCATCATCCTTGGCCCCCCAGGTCCCATTTGTGGCCCAGGTCCATAACCACCAGGTCTTGGAGGCCCCTACAGAGAACAGTTAGGATTACACCACCGTTATATCAACAAGTAATAGCATGAGCAGTCACTTCAATGGCTCAGGTGTTACCTATTTTGTTTCAAAATTTTGAGGTTAGAAATCTCGTCTTCGATGCGAAGGGGGTCAGCAATGCTGGAGAATATTTATTTCAATAACTGTTTTTTTTTTTAATGAAATTTTATCAGTTTAATGATATGCAGTAAAAAAGAAATGTACTGAAAAATGTAACGTCATAAGCAGAATGTATAACAACATTTGATAAAAACATCTGTAGAGACAGTTAACGGTTGTACAAAAATGGACTAATGGTTTCATTGTCACAGATATTAGAGAGGCGGCGTGAAGCGTCGCTCTCATAGCGAGCTCAATGAATAAACTAACATGTAAGAACGGAGAAAATTGGGTTGAATTTTCTGCACATTGCTCCAAGAAATTTTTATCGTACTGCGTGAAAAAATTCTAAACTCCAAATAATCCTTTGCGGTGCATAGCAACATGGTGGCTTAAACATAGCAACAACTTACTTGAAAAAAATTACAAACAAGGATTTAATGTAATCTCTATGCCACAAAACTATCGTTCACATTCTAAGTCAACAGGACTTTTTATTTGGCGTCATACTTTCGTCACTTTTACAGCTCAGGTATATTTCCGATTTTGTCCGAAACTTTTAAGAAGTGCAGAATCTCGATATCGATGCATGGGAAGTGATTTCTTTTTATTGTTTTATTTCATTTTCTTTTGTTCCAATCTGATTAAAATCAGATCCTTTGATCTGCTCACATAGATTGCTACACAAGGATCTGAAGAAACCCAATTCAGGGTCATCTCCTGGTGACCTTTCAATTATCCAATCAAACGTTTACTTCCAAAAATTTAGAAGTACTTCGGAATACAGTAAGAGAAGTGAAATCAGTTTCTTCAGATCCTTGTGTAGCGATCTTTATGTGAGCGGATCAAATGATCTGATTTTAATCCGATTGTCTTTTGTTTTTTCCTATCTTTTTTTTTAAAGAACTGAGGATAGTCAGCACAAGTGTAGGCTGTGTACAGGTTTCTGATGGTACATAACTGCGCTCGCCCCACAGTTAAACATATTATTCAGATTGCACTCGGAAGGCCTCGGGTACTACCCTAATTGTCATCCGAGTGAGTTATCTTTTCTTGGGCGAAGAGTTTCACACTGTGCAGAAAGCTGGGATCTTCGTTGGATAAAAGCTATTTTCGATGGATATATTTGGAATATTTTAGCCTGGATAAGTACTAGGACATTATTTGCGCTAGTTCATTGCAGGATTTGTGTAACTTTTCTCAAGTAAGTTGTTTTTTGACTTAGTTTAAAAATCGTGTGCTACTTTCGATTCTTCCCTTGTGTATTTTTATATGTGAAGTAGAGAACAGAGTGGATAAGATCTGAAGATGCCCCTGTGCCTGTACCTCATGAAAATTCCAAATAATCAGGTTGGGCACACACCCCCAAATGGTCATTTAACCCCTGTTTGGTGGTCAATCGCCCATATCGGCGTCTTTTTTACCTACCAAATGGTGGTCTTTTTTATTCAAATCCAATTTTCATTGAAATAAAGCAAAAGCGCATTTACTTAGGCATTGGGGAATTTTAATTAACATATTCATCGCACATTTAATACAATTTAGTCAATTTTCCATGTGGAATTTCTGTGGAACTTCGTAAAAACGAAACCCACAGCTGTTCGTGACGGCCGTACTATTAGCTCAAACAATACAAAAAAATATTTTGTTGTGTATAGTTCGGTAAAAAATACATTTAAGCAAGAGGTGTTAGTCTAGAGAAGTAACTTTTCAAACGATCTTTAAAAAAGCCCGTTAAACACGAGCTCCTGGAATCTTATTCGTATGGTGGGCACTTAGTGCTATAATAGTCATTTTTCCTACATTTGAATGTAACATTTATTCTTTATTTTCTTTTAGGACGAAGTTGCGATTTCTGTGCGACCTTTTGTGGTTTAGTATGCTTATCTATGTTGTATCTACTATATTTATTAAATATTTTTGAATAAAAGATTTACAAAGTGACATTTGCAATTATTCCTGTTTTTATTCCAAGATTATGGTTTTCGAGTGATTATTTTAACATAAATTCACTGCATATCGCATTTTTATAAAGAATAAAGCCATTGCTTACGAAATAAACTAAATAAAAGCGAATTCTTACCATTCCTCGTATTTTACTTTTTGAAAATTAACACTTATGGGCCTCCGTAGTTAATTCAATCTTTTGACCCAAGTTTGGAAAAGATCGTCATTTTTGATTGGTTTAGATAATTGATCGGTTGCCCGGATGACAGAAATATGAAGTGATCAACATGATTGATAGGCTCATCTACGCGCGAGACGGAGGGAATTTTTCTTTTAAAGTTAAAACAGAGAAACATTACATTTGTTTACATAGGTGACGATTTTGTCAATTATTTGAACGACACTGCGCAAAAAAGTCCGCGTTGAAATTTTAATTTTTTTCGTTCAGAGTACAGATTAGTTAGGATAATCTAACTGTGTCTCGGTACAGGCCCTCACCACAGTTAGAATACGTCCCATATACTTGTAATGTTGCAAATCGGAGCGGATCCGCTCCGAAACGATTTTGAAGAATATAAAATGACTTGAACTGGGAATATCTACCAAAATAATCAAAACAAACCTTCTTGAGATTGCTTATGCCTTTTATCCCAAAAAATCATCCATATAAATACGAAAATCCAATTAATTTTCTCAACGTTTTTCTCGCGATTCAAATTACCTGCCATGTTTACATTCGGAACTCTCTAGATTTTTCCTATTAAATGCACTATGCGAGTTATCGCCCGTGTTTCTTTCTGCTACATTACGAATACACGGAACGAATTCTATCGTTAAACCGGGTCCGTAGGACAATATCATTTTAACGATAGAACATTCTATCTAAGTACAGATAAATATCTATATTTTATTCCCCGTGAGTTGAAATTATGCGCCATTTCACGTCATTCCAGAGAACTGAACAGAACGATTTTTCTCTCCCATTTGGTGGTTAATAAAGACGTCGATTTGGGCGAATGACCACCAAACGGGGTTTAAATGACCATTTGGCGGTGTGTGCCCAACCTGATAATTGACAAAATTGTGAGTTGCGTTTCTATCATTCAGCATTTCTGAATTCATTTAATTTAGATACGGTAGATAGAACAATTTCATGCTTTTTTAAACAATAACAGAACGCATATACATAGTTAACAAAGTCGGACAAAAATTAAAATTCTCTATTTTAAAAATCTTGAGGATTAGAGACCGGGGGATGTAATTGATTGATAAGAAGACGTTCCCTCTCACCCCTGGGTATCCCGGCTGTTGGAATGGTCTGACAGGTGGTCCCGGTTGAGGATATCTATGCTGTCCATGCTGTGGTTGCATCATTTTCTGCAAATTATCTAAAATGTATCCACCATTGTTAGAACAAAATCGGCGAAGCTATTTTCCTCTCGTTAAATCTCGAGCTGCGAGATTTCATTTCGATTCCCCTATTTACCCAAATGGACCTCAAAATCCAAACGGAATCAAAATGTAAATGGAAAACCTCGTATAAAAATAATTTTAAAATGCGTTGCGTTATATTCTTTTAACATTTAGGGATACTACAAAGCGAAATACTATTTCAACTGAAGATCTAAATGCTTGACGTAAAACACATTCTCGCTTGTGTTGTCAAATGGTGGGTCAGTCTAAATACCCGAAAGTAACCTAAATTCGTGTGCAGTATAGAGCGGACCCTTAATAATTCTATCATGTTGTAATTTTCCTTAATTATGAAACTGTTATGAGGGAATGGAGAGGTTTGACAGAAAAACTCCAAATTTACATATGTCACTTGTTAATCTCATAAAAACTACACACGCCTTAAATTTACGACTGGAAATTTAAGGTAAATGCAATTGCATTTATCACCCCCTTAGTTAATTAATTCCAAATAAATTTACAACATGATACTTCTCTACTGCCTGTAAAAAACCCCACAAAAACCACTATCATTTATTTCTTGTGGGGCGGGGGGAGGGGGGTAATTTTTTCTCTCTTTTTTATTGCCTGCTCCCTAACATCATCAACATCAACTGTCTCTAAAATTAATGTAAAATACTAAATACTTCATAATCAGTGACCCTTTTCGCAAAAAATCCTACGACTAAGACTAAAATTGCACCACTCTGTATTTTGTTTACAAGTATCTAATAAAGATATTTTCTTCTAAATAATTAATTACAATTTAAGCATAAAATATTAATGAATGTAATATTATAGAAAAATATGATTTTCACAACTTCTAAAAGATATTTGTTGTAGAATGGGGGGTATTTTTGTCTTAGTCGTAAGATTTTTTGTGAAAAGGGCCAAAAGATGTTGCCATTCTTGGTATCATAAAAACATTTCACAACAATACATTGTATATGGAATTTACAAGGGGATCTCTTCTTCCCATACAGTGCGCAGGGTCTTTTGGGCATCATCGCACTTTATCTCAAACACAATCGCAAAAAATTATCATTCTCTTATTAGAAAAAAATATTGGAATAACATTGCATTTAACGGTTCACTTGTCTCAAGCTGTTAGTTTTATGATAAAAGGTTAAACTACTCTATCAATAAGAAAATGATGGAATATAATTATCCATCCCTTGGAATCTTATAGAGATATCAGATTTACAAATGTATCTAGCTATGTCTGATCTTTTCACAGATGGTTATTTGAACACTTCTTTGACCAATAATGTAACAAATTATTACTACTTAGTACTAAAAGATTGAAGTAAAAGTTCACTCCCCCATCTGATTCTACATACAAATAATTTAGGGCAGGTCCGGGCTTTTAAGAATTTCTGTCAAAAACTAATATAACCAAAATATCAATAAAGACATACCTTCGAAAGCTCATTTTCATACAATGTATCTTAGAGTGCATACATGTATCCTTCAAAATTCAACAGCTAATATTTTTAAACATAGAGAAGTATTATCTCATATTTTATTTAGTTATGCACCAAAAGATGTCAGATTTAGATCATTTATGAAAATCAGATATACTAGTATTCTTTTTTTTCCCCTTTTTTAATTACAATTTTTACTCCCATTTTGGGGAATCATTTCCCACATCATTTTTTGCAAAATTTGGAAAGTGAAATATTAAAAAGATGGCACAGTCTTAAAATCATTTGAAATAGATCTCAAGTCAATTTGCACGAAAAATATTAAATTATATATATAAAACCGGATCCGTAAAAGTATGGACCTACCTTAAAAGATGATGGAATTTCTCATTGGTATTTAATATGTCTAACGTTATGTAGTCATTGGAGATCGGGCCATAAAACTTAAACGATTTCACTTTTGAATAACAAAGGAATAATATAGTGGAAAAGTGAGACTGAAATCAAAAGTGAGCTCGTCTAATTCTATGGCCCAAAAGCCAGACCAATGGACACAAATTGTTCTCATTTGTTGGCCAACTTGTTTTGATATTCTTAGATCTAATTACTGATTAAGCGGAATTTATTTAATTGGAATAGGAAGATAACAAACGGTGCTAACAGTCAAACTCAAATGTCCACGAAAACAGTAGTCAAGGACTGGTGCCATAGAGGAGTAAGCATCCCAGCCTTCTTAACTGAACAAGCGTGTTCAATGATGAAGATTTAGCGTGCCCATGGTCAAGATTACTGCATGTTCGGTGATCAAGATTCAATGCTCGAGATCACAGTGCATTCAATGGTCAAGATTTAAGCGTGTACGAAGATCCAGATCACAGCATGGTCAGTGGTCAGGATACATTATAAAAGCGTGTTCGATGATCAAGATAACAAGGCTTTGAATTATCGAGGTTATATAGCGTGTCCATTGATAAATATTACAGCATGTTTAATGGTCAGATTACAACGTGTTCAATGGTCAAGAGTACGGCGTGTTCAATAGTCAAGAAATGCTTCAATTTTCTGCCAAACAAAAAAAATTAAATTGTTTAATTTCTTTCGTGTAAGACATACATTTCTACTGCATGTGTTTATCATATACATATACATGTAGTTTATACATGTAACTTTTCCTTTTTAGAATACGTCTTAAAACCTTTTTTTGTTAAAAAATATATATTTTAAAAATAATTGATGGATACCCCTCCTCCCCGGCCTCCAAATACTGCGTGTCTGGCATTTCCCCATGATACATTAAGTTACATCAAATAATGCTCTTTTGGCAATAGAATTATTTTATTTGTTTTATCAGTATGTTTAAAACAAATACAAAGGTGAGAAATGAATTCTTTCTCTTATTTTCCAGTCACTTTGAGATATTGTATGAACTTCCAGAAGAACCTTGTGTTTTTGAGATTTCTCAGGACTTCAGTGTAATCTACAACAGAAAAAATAAGACAATATCTGACGTACTCATATAGAATTAATTAAAATTTACAAAGAAAACAGAATTTAAGGAAGCTCTAAACACTGCTCACACAAGAGTTCTAATTGTAGGGTATTTTTTTGCTGTTAGAGTGATCTGCCCTTAGAAGTGAGATAGAAAAAATGGTTATTTACAGTCAATTTCTTAAAGACTAAAACATGCTTAGCATTATATAAGACCAAAAATAAGTAATTGAATTCATTAGTTCCATTATTTTTCCCAATGTACTAGTAAGTAAACAACGGTGTTTCTATTCATGCAAAGTCCCTTGTCTTTGAATATTTTTCCTGCAGAGTTAAGGCAGGTACCCTATGTTGAAAGCAGGGATAAGAAACAGGGGAATCTTGGATTAATATATATGATATTACAACTATTCCTCATAACCATGTGAAAATTCTTACCTTGTTTCTCGGGTACTTGTGCATGTCTTAGTCGAACACTTCTATTCAAATATGTGCTTTTCATAATCAATCTGGCCAGTCGTGGAATTCGATACAGGAATGCTTATAAATAAACCAAATTCAATATTTTGAAATTCTGCCTCAAGAATGATTTTCAATATCAAAAAATATATATTTTTTTGTTCATTACAAGTTCTTTACTTTCCCTTATATAGGTAAATATTTTCATATGTTATACATAAAATTTAAATATAAATCACGGCTTGTAAAAAAATCTGTAAAGATATAAGTTTTATTCATTTTTAATGTGAATCACTTTTGTATTATTGATGATTGGACATTCTCGTTCAGAAAAATAAGCTGAGGAAGTAATCAGTTTGGATCGTCGCAAAATATTTGCCTTACGAATACAGAACAGTCTACTCTGCTATTTCAGTCAGATGATATGGAACGCCATGGCTGCCTTATGTTAGATGATTATATTATACTGTGGGTCTATAATTATATGCTGTGGGTTTATAATTATATGCTGTGGGTTTGTTATTATATGCTGTGGTTCTTATATTATATGCTGTGGTTCTATAATTATATGCTGTGGGTCTATTATTATATGCTGTGGGTCTATAATTATATGCTGTGGTTCTATAATTATATGCTGTGGATCTATTATCATATGCTGTGGGTTTATAATTATATGCCGTAGGTCTATTATTATATGCTGTGGATCTATTATTATATGCTGTGGGTCCATTATATGCTATGGGTCTATTATTATATGCTGTGGGTCTATTATTATATGCTGTAGATCTATTATTATATGCTGTGGATCTATTATTATATGCTGTGGGTCTATAATTATATGCTGTGGGTTTATAATTATATGCTGTGGTTTTATAATTATATGCTGTGGGTTTATAATTATATGCTGTGGGTTTATAATTATATGCTGTGGATCTTTCATTATATGCTGTGGTTTCGTTTTTATATGCTGTGGGTTCATAATTATATTCTGTGGGTGTATTGTTACATATTCTGTCGGTTTATTAGAAACTATCTATTCAAATTTGGACTTCTCGTTTTTTTAGTTTACTTGCTCAAAAAATGGCGGCTAACCGTAATAGGAATGAGAGAGAGTGGAGTGCTGAATAGGAAGGCATTACCTGATTGGTTTAAATGAGGAACATGTATGTAATGTTTGTTTGTTTGTTTTGTTTTTCTTTTTTAAAGTAAAAATATTAATGTTTGAAATAATGAATATTACAGAAATATAGAAATACCAGGGAGATGGTAAGAGCGGGGGTTGATTTTTTTATGGAATGTAGGAATATAACAGAAATATAGAAATACCAGGGGAGATTGTAGGAGTTGTGGTTGATTTTTTTTGGGGCCAGAGTGTTATTTACTGCGGTACCTATAAGTTAATTTTTATCAACTGCAATTTTGACCTATAAACGCCATGGAACCTATATTTTGGGGGGATTTTTTTTATAAGCGCTTGGATGAAAGTTTCAAACGATGCCATACACTACAAATCTTTATCATATTAAGAGCAATCTGATGCACATTGTTAACTTACTTACTTCCTCTGACATTATCAAATGCACCACGCTATACTAATCATTGGCCTCGGAAGCTAATTGAAAGTGTGGGGGGGGGCTAAGTG